CCGCCTGCCCTTCTCCCATGTACACATCAGTGGACGGCGTGACACGGTGGCGTGGGACAGATGCGCATGGGGTGCTGGCGTGCAGCCAGCATGACGACACTCCACTGCGGGCATGCTGCTAATGTGCTGATAGCATATCACTGTTACCGGGAGGGGATGGGTGATGTGATGTCCTGTTCAACGGCGAATGTTAAGTTGCTTCATAGCTGCCACACTCTTCGCGTCAATGTTTGTTATACCTGTGATTACTTGCACGAGTCAGCATGCAGCTCAGAGACCAGTGCAAAGGCTAAACATTACTGAGCTGTCTATTCGTCCGAAACCAACCAGGAAATCCTAATGACGGCTTTGAGTCACTCGAAAATCTACTGCTCCGGATTCTGTCTGTGTGTGTCTGGTTTGTAAAACAATGATGAGCGTATCACGCGGCGATGTCTCCAGGAGCTGTTGTTGCAAATTGTTAGCGCATTCCCCGTATGTTCACGTGCCCGCAGTCAGCAGTTTGCTCACCGCATTTGATCCGTATCGTATTGTTTGACATCGCAAACATCTGGCCGGTGCAACAGTGCGATATGTATTGTCACCTAATGAGGCCTCGAGTGCTGCTTGCTGGTAGATGTCTGATTGAGTATTTCCAAATAGACTTCGCCAGGCTGGAGCGGACATGCTCCTCTTAGAGCCATCACCGTTGTGCAGTGTATGCCGATGGTTGCGTGCGACGGTTGTTTGCTGGTTAACGTCTGATTGCGCATTTTCAAAATCGACTGCCAGACTGGAGCATACGTGCACCCGCATAGATCCATCACTGTCGCGCGGTTGTTGTTTTCATTTTGATTCGTTGGCCGAACCGGACGTGTATATCCAATAACAATGGGACGAATAAGGAGAGGCACGTTCCATAAATTTATGAAGAGAGTGAGAGAGAGAGAGAGAGAGAGAGAGTGTGTGTATAATAACCCCTTGCTCCTGGTTTCGTGATCTTCTGTGACAGGTGATTGCCGCGACAGGTTTGAGGTGAATCCCGGGGTAAAAGTAGAGTGAAACCTGTGACTAAGGACCACCCCTTGGGGCCAGAGAAAGCGGTCTTTAGTGGCAGGTGGTCTTTACTTAGAAGTTTGCACCGCGCGACCATTATTATAAGGATCCCAATCGATGATATGTATGTCAAAGTGCAGCTAATACTATTCCCCGCCGCTTGCGCAATGCCATTTCTCCTTTCAGCAGTAGCACTGAGCAGAGAGAAGGTTCGATGCGCTCTCCAAGACGTTTACTATCATGTTTGCTCATGACAGCCCTTGAAACTACGACAGGTGCAGTGCAGCCCACAGTCAAAATGAGCCTGCGTTCATCTGTTCAGCTGTAGTGTCGATAGAGTCCATTCCGGACCATAGAAATTCATCAAAATTTCAAAGAAGGAGCTTTGAACAACCTTTGGCTTCCTACATCGTCGTCGCTAGTTACGGGTAAAAAACGACTTTGGGATATAAAAAAAGGCGGTCGCTGGTCGTGTTCAGCAGGTAGCCGCTTGTCACAGTGCATTTTTGAATGTGAGACTGTCCGTCCGTGCCTGGCAAAGTGGTCGGTAGTAGCAGGCTGGTCGCTAGTCACGGTGGTCTTTCGTTACAGGTTTTACTGTATGACACGGGTATCAGCTAGGGTGTCTATCAACCCGGTACCCAATTACCCTGTTACCTCGTGCCTTCCACAAAACTATGACGTATTCCTCAGTGCCTATCGCCTGGCAATGTGGCCATGTAAGCCTCAGCTTCTGAACTAGCCCCCCCCCCCCCCCCTTAGCTGGAGTAGGACCTGTCAGGACGAATTGGACTTCTGTTGTGAATGTCAGTTTTCGAGCTGCTTCCCCTGCGGCTTTGTTTGTTTTAGTGGCATTCCGCCTTTCTGCGGTTTGACACACCCTGCTTGGCTTGAAGGGAGCAGCTTAGTACTAAAGGTCTTGCTGCTCCTAATTGAAAAAAATGAGTATTTCAAGTGCCGAAGGGCGTCATTAGTGACTGATTAAAGGAGAGAGTTTAAGCATGTAGCTAGTTTTTTGTGTTGATTTGTTTCGTTGCTGATAAGCACAAATAGGAGCGCGCAGGGCGGTGTCCGTCGTGTGGTTCTTTGAGCCTGTCCCCAGTGAAACCATCTCACACGATCCTTGTCTCGATCAGTGGGTGAAGATCGATTATGGGTGTCCCCAAATACGTCATAATGCAGTAGCCCATCTTCTTGTGTGGTTGATGACAGTTAGATTTGCTTCTCCTTGCTGGGCTGGTTTATGTCTGGAGAGGATTGCACATGCCATTGAGGTAAAGAGTTCCTGGATGCAAGCAACCTGCTGCCACCAGCTGGGGGCTCTCCTTGATTTCGTGAACTCTGCAACGGTCCTGAACTCTTGCCTGATTTTGAAGTTAAAATATATGAATGCCCAGGCAAGACACATAACTCCTAGCCGGTAGTAAATTGAACAAAACATGCGATGGGAACGAATACACCAAGATCACACCAAGATCCCAAGTGTGTATTTTACATAGATATTGGAGCTGCCCTTGAATGGCAGAATGCCAGGTTAAATTCTGTGCATAGTTTTCATTCACAGAAACATGGCTACCTAACACAAGACAACGACGAGCCCTAGGTGGACTGTGTTCTGTAACACACACATCTGCCAACAAGCTGTGCTCTGTTTACTTCCAGGTCAACGATTGTGTGGCACGTTGGGTGGGTGGATGGGTATACACTGTTGGAAATGAGACAGGCACTCAACCCTCACAATAACTGTCACTGCAGTTGCTTGTGAGCACACAGCAGTGGACAGTGGAACCACTTGTGTTCTACAAAGTGGTTCTCTCTGATCTAGCTGGCAGCAGCAGCTGCCGATGATGTCTGGAGAACTATACGTGGCTCTGCTGATGGACGAGTGGCCAACACTTGCAGTTGCACTGCACTGGACTGCTGACTGAATCATCTGCTGTGTGGGTGTGTTCAATGACAATTTTGGGCACTTAAGTGGCAGGATTGGAATGCGCTGACAGATGTACGTAGCGGATCTACCAAGTAACCATGTAACACTCTTAATGACACCCTTGAGTTAATGACACCCTTGGAACTGGCTGTAAACCTTTTCTTTTCATTCTGCACTATGGTACTGTGTATTGTGGGAGACATGGAAAGATGCAACGCAGTGAGGTGCAGAGGCACAGAAAGATGCCGTAGACTGTAATGGTGAAATGGGAGGCTTTGCTTTGATCATCTACAGCCTTCAGGTTGCCAAAGTGTTTGACGCCACGCTTGCTAGCCACGTCCCGTGCAGGTTAATTTACGGATGGTTCATGCAGCAGCCTGCTTGAACCGGAATGGCGTGCATCACCGCAGGGCACATGTATGTCTAGTGTACATCTATATAGGCAGTGTGTGTTCGTTTTGGTTAAGGGTGGGGTGCAGTGCAATATGATCAGATTGGCAATGATGCTCCTAGCACCATATTTTGCGGTGCGTGCCTATGCCCAGAAGGGATAGCTCAGTTCAAAATCACCACCCTGGCTTGGAAGTGAAGAACCTTTCTGCATCCAGTGTAGGGAAATACCTCCTTTCCTCAGTGGGATGTAAGAGCAATGAAGATTGTCCATGTGCCAGTCCTGAATGAGCAAGCCACAACAGCCCAGTGATGGGTAGTAAGAGAAAGCTGTTACACATTGCTATGTGCCTAGTCTGGGCTAGCCACAGCAATGTGTATTACGTGTGTATACTGTAACGTCGTGTATATAGGCTGCTGCTTTTATGATTTTTTGGGGGAAATTTTGCAGGCTTCTACATGAGACAGGCTTCTATACAAGACAGGTATTTCTATGTATGTCAACACTAGGCATACCTGCCGAGGGTGTAAGTATCTTGAAAATCAGGCTTCTATTCAAGACAGGCCTCTATAATGAGACATGCTTTACTACACTACAAGACACTACAGGTGAATTGCAGACTCACGGCTGACATCTGCCTACACCTGCTGTGGCTGGCTCACCCACTTGAAGTCATTAGCCTCTTGTTGAGAAAACGTGCGCTGCTGCTGCGGCTGTTGATAGCTGTGAGCTGTGCCCGTTTAGGCCAGATGCCATTCTGGCACTCCGGATACTCTACTAGGAGCAGTTCCGCCAAAGGCATGGTTGACTGATAGGGGGACGCATGTAAATTGTCCTGGCGCTTGCGGCTATGTTTAGCCATGGACACTGGCCCAGGAAACTTGTGTTGCGGTGCGTCCTGGCGCCACTGGCTACTTGACGCCACTTGGCCAGATATCTATGATGTCTTGGCTGCTACATGGCAGACAGCAGAGTGCATTCCCTGGACTTCTCTATCTGGTAGTAGGCACAGGCGTTGGCTAGGATAGGAGACAGGCAGTGTGGCTTTGCAGGCTGGCCCGTAGACCCTACACTGAGGGCAATACCAGCTAGGCAAGAGTGCCCGCTCTACTTTGGCCAGTGTTTTAGGGAAAGTGCACACAGTGAATAGGTATCACCATACACCATGGATAGTACAGATCAGGGTACAGTCAGACCTCCCATAAGATAGGTGAGGGGGGGGGGGGGCTTGTGTTTGATGAGCACTATTGCATTTTGTGTGTGTGTGAGGACTACTCTCCTCCTTGCCGGCGTGCTTTTAACTCGGACACCGTGTTCGATCCTAGTAGACGATGTGCTTGTGTACATGTGAAGGGCTCCAATTCAGAACGAGATAAATCCACTTTGTGGGAACTTCAGGAAGTGCATTTTTCATTATCCTTTTCTTTTTTCGGTCTGCACTGCAGCATCAGTAACTTTTATTGCGTTTTGCAGAAGAACACTAACTTCACGCATCATTTTGATTGGGATGTATCGCGTTTTGACCCATAACACGGACACACAGACGTCCGTGGGGGGTGGAAAAAACTGAAAAAGCTCTGGTTTGGTCTTTATCGCGTTCAGAATTGGAGCCCTTCGTGTGTTCTCCGTGATTTCTGTGCACAGGCAGGGGCAGGTCACCCGTGTGCGCGTCAAACACAAACCAGCGACAGCCAGTCGCCACTGCGCCAACCACCGTCCGTGAGTATTGTCAGCCCGCGTGTGTATGAACATCCGTCCATCATGAAGAAGAGCCGTGCAAACGTAGATTAATGCATTGTTGTTGTTGTTGTTGTTGTTGTTGTTGTTGTTGTGTTTATTTTAATTCGGGATTCAAACGGGCAAGTACACCCAATTACAGGAATGCGAATGCCAGAGACAGACACGGAAGACTGGAAGAAGAGCATTAGGGCTACAGTGAGGAAAATCAAAGTGAATACTAAGAGTATGGGGTGTGTCTGCCAGTTTAAACTGGGTTAGGCATCGGGTACCACCAACATTGGAACTGTAAGGTGTCGTTCCGGGATACTTTCAAGTGCCTAGTCGACCAACACTGACACTGTGCCTTTGATCTGATTTCTCTGCTCCTCAACGTGGGATCACCGGGAGAAGTATGTATACAATGAAAACTGAGGCATTGTGCAAGTCTTAGTCATAGCCAGTCTTATTCCGCCGCATATTCGTGCAGGATGAATTATAGAATTTGTTTGGATATCATTTTCTGTGTGATTTCAGGTTGTGCTACCGTCCATTCCCATGTGAAGTTAGGCCACCCTAGGAGCAGTACGCAGCAGCCCGTGGATAAGGTAACTCCTTTCTCCTCGCCTCCCTGTCGTTTCTTGTTCGTCTGCCCGCCTGTGTGTCTTTTGGTCTGTCTCTGTCCTTCTCGCTCCTTCCGCTCTCCCTCTCCCCGCTTCACCTCTTTCACAGGAAAAATGCCTACTGTGTCACAATGTTTCGCGGGACTAATACACGTGTACCAAGCACACACGCACGCACGCGCACACACACACACACACACACACACACACACACACACACACACACACACAGCAAAACTGCAGCTTCTGTCTTCTTGTCGTTCAGACTTGACTTCGAAATGTCATGTACTGATCTGTGTTCGTGGTTGTGTAATGCACAACTTTCTCTGTTTCTTTTTTTCTGCCTTTGTTTCCATAGCCGAAGAGACAAGATGATGCCATGGCCATAAGCTTGCAGAATCGCGGCCGACTGTACAGCATGCCTCCAGACCTGGAGACAACATCAGCCCAAAGCCATGTCAGCCGACAACAGCTCTCCGCACGCGCAAGCCAGACGGCCGACATGCGTGCCGCCATGGTGTCATCGCCGCCGACAACTATGAAAGCTGTTTCTTCCAGGGACCCCACTGCCACTCGTGGCATTCCGTGTAAGCCACAGCGGACAGTACAGCCGATCAAAACGGAAGCAAGACCGCGACACGAGCCCGCTGCGCCGCAGCATGCCATCGCCATCACGGACTTCAAGGTGCTCTCCGAGTACGCACGCCAGAATCCCCACTGGCGAGCTGCAGGGGATAAGCAGGTCGCGGGGAAGTCCCTCACCAAGCTGCAAAGCATCTTCGATCACGCGTACACGAGCTTCTGCAATCGAATCAACGCGCCGCATGCGGCGAAGCGTAGCCAAGACGAGCGTGATGATAACGTCAACTGTGCAGATGAACTGCACAGAAAGAAACGCCAGCGATCTGTATACGGCGAAACAGCGCAAGCAAGACAGTCATCGAACAGGCAGCATTCAACTCACCACATGCCGGCTGAGCAGTGTGGAGTTCGCCGTGGTGCGGCTGAATCACAGATGCATGCAAAGGGTGACAACGAAGGTAACCATCATGGCCACCTGCAGCAGGAAACAAGGGTCGAGAGCACCCCAGCCCCGGCGCACTCCCAGTGTGCCTACTACCGGCCACCGTCGCATACGAGTTCCATTCCGTTCCACTCCGGGGAAAGCCCCATGGTAGCGGGACAAACCCCCGTGCTTCTGGGGACCCCGCCGGCGCAGACGTTACAGCAGCCGGTCGTGTATCAACTGGTGAGCGCTGACCATGGGCACGCGCAGCACCAGGTGCAGGTCATGCCCATGCACAGCCTGCAAGTACCGGCGCAGTCACAGTACGTCCTGCAGCACGGCGGCGCTCCACAAGTACAGTACATCGTCTACCCGGGTCACCCGACACCTCCCGTGGCAGCAACCCTACCTGTAGCCCAACCGACACCCATCACATCAACGCCACCGTCGACTGTCCCGTCGGAAAACCTTGCACAGGATCACGCAGACGGGACTAGCATGGAACCCGACTACGAGTGCACGTCCCCGATGCGCTACACCAGACAAGAGCACGCCATTGGTGGCTCGCCTCGTCGGCCGGAGAACTTCGACGTGGCGCCGAGCGATGGCGATGGAGACGGCGACGTGAGACCGGAGCCCTCGCACCCGAGCGCCAAGCTGGTCACGCGCAGCATCAAGTCCAGCCTGGAGCGGAGCTTTGCCGACCCGAAGGAGGCACGGCGACGGATCTCCGCCGACATCATGAGCACGCCGCACCGACGGCGGAAACGGCGCGGCGCCTACAGCCCGTACCCGCTGCAGATCAATGGACACTCCGTGGGAAGCATGTAGCTGCTGATGTCTCCAGCGTGAGAGAATGTAGATCCCCTGCTTGTCTCAATTTCACCAGCATCCCAGTCTATTTAATCTCCTAAACGTCTAGTTATTGCGTGCTGTCGTGTGCAGTAAATTACTTCGGCATTTGTCATCGTCAGTGATAACTTCCTTGTTTTTCCAGCCAGTGTTGTAGTGGTTGTTGTTCTTGTTGCTGCCGCCGCCGGTGTCACTACTGCTGGTGTCACTACTGCTGTTGTTTCCAATACTGCTGGTGTCACTACTGCTGTTGTTTCCAATACTGCTGGTGTCACTACTGCTGTTGTTTCCAATACTGCTGGCGTCACTACTGCTGTTGTTTCCAATACTGCTGGCGTCCTTGTTCTTTTCTCTTTGTACCTAGTGTTTCATACTAGTCCTGGCTGGGTACCATACACTCAAAGCCACAGCTGTGTGGCGATGTCAACGGCACTAGTCATCTCGTACTTGACTTCGAGTCTTCTAGAAATATTGGAAAAGGTGTTGAGTTGAGGAGAATTTCTATCATCCTCTTTTTTATCCTTGACAAGCTCTTCAATATTCCTAGTTAGCCTTGTTGATTCTGGATGCTTAACGTTAGTTGATACTGCCTCGACATTTTATCTTTATTATATCTATTATGTGATCACCTAGACATGCCAAGCTCATCGTGTTATGTCTTATTCTCTACGATTATCCACTTTTGAGTCAATCTTCTCTTTCCGCTGGCCGTACACTATCCCATGAACATTCAGCGCCTGGTTTTGCGCTCATAACATTATTAATATTTTTGTTGTATGTTATAACATGTCTCCGCAAAGGCAGGCGCTATAGTACTTTTCATGCACACTCATATTATACCGCTCCTCCGTGTTGTCCACATTCCATGCACGGTATGTTTCTTCGCTTTGCGTAAAACAGATTTTGGAGTTCTGGCCAGCTAGCCTGGTGTTTTGAACATGCAGGCCTTGGGATGTTGGGACTGTGCTTGCGTGTACGTGTAGATCTACACGTGCACATACACTTCACTTGAACTATTCAGTATTGCCAGAAACTAATACATGACTGCAGTTGTCGGTCTAGATGTTCAGGATTTGTTTATAGTAATTTTCAAATTATACGACCTGAAGAGTCCATAATATCATAGTATGCTCTGACTTGGTCTGACACGACAAACTACCGGTAACTTACTTTGGAGGTTTCGTTCGAGCTCGGCCGCCATACACAAGTCAATGCCCCATTATTTATAGTATACCAAAGTGACCGCCATGCAGCGCCTAGCGGCAAGGCCGAAACTGTATAACATGTACCATGCATTGCAAGTCTCACAATCAAGCGCCAAGCTGGGGATGAAACGTCGTGAGCTGCAGGATAAAAATTAAAACTGGCTCCCTACGCGCGCTCGTACCATTCTAGACTAGAGCACCATTCTCGCCTGCCACGGTTGACACCATCATATCGCCGTACTACAAGTACCATGAGTAGATCTCTACGCCTACGGTCAGCCCGATTATTGGCGATAGTCTCGCTGGAAAGATCTCGGTTCGCGAACAGGATGCGTGTGTCGTTTGCATGCGCAGTAGATCTACTAGTACTAGTAGTAGCTGTAGCGAAGTGAAGGGTGCAGCTAATCAGAGGATCATTATTCTCATACATGTAGTATAGTAGGGGAAATCGGGGAAATCCCCTTGCATTTACCTACTTTCTCAGACCGCCTGCACCAGCGACTACGGACTGTCAGGACTGCACTGTGCAGGATCCTGCACAGTCCGAAAGTCTGCCCAAGTCGCTGGATGCGGATCACTGATTCGTGTGGGATCCGTCTAGACCACAGCACTCATCAGTCATCGGGTCGTGGTTTGTGCAACTCCTCACTAATACTAGTAATAGACGTAGTCGAGTGGTAGTCTTTGAGTTTGAGTCTAACGGTCGTGCATTACGAGTACATGATTATGAGATCGAGAGAGAGATCGAGAGAGAGATCGAGAGAGAGTTCACAGCGCTAGCGGATAACAGTTGACACCAGCTGCAGACCAAACCTACAGTCGTACTACATGTAGTATTGTAGTGCATTTTGATATGATGGCCAAAGTAACGCCGTCACACAATAATACTGTCGCACATTGCGAGTAGCTGCATGGAGAGAATGCATAGGGTATCGATGACACGTATCCAAGTCTAGTGTATGCTGGGGACACTTGATCAAATAAACAAAACACAGTGGAACAAAAATAGATCTCAACTCAGATTTTCATGCAACAGTCAGGAAACAAATCCCTGCAAGGCTGTTATCATTGCACTGTGTGGATAAACCCCGCTAGGGTTTACCGGGTGTTAGCGGCCGTCGTGAGTTCCCTTCGGGA